TAAAATTCAAATTAGCCGACGGCATGCAACTAATGGACCATTTTGTTGTTTTAGGTATTTTGTTCAGCAGAAACAACCGCATATCGGCTTCCATACATATATTTGTTTACATTATGTATAATAATGTTCTCTTTTTTTCTCCATCTCTCCCTCATTCTCTATACATTTTTCTTCATAATATTTTAATAGTTAAAGTTTGATTTTATTCGATTGTTTACGATCTATTTTGTGACATTTTTTTTCAATTTTTTTTTTTGCTTTTCCGATTCGTTTAGTGTAAATAATGTGTATTTTTATTTTGAAATAAATCTCTCAAGAAAAGTTAACATTAAGATAGAAACTACTGTCGCTTTGTTTTTTTTTTCTTCTAAAAATCTGCTTCCGTTAACATATCACTTTTGTTGTTGTTGTTTTTTTGATCAAAGAAAATAAAAGAGCTCTTAAATAGGCGATTTTTTTTTTCTGGACCCAATTTCTTTGCGTTACGCGGAAGTTGATTGGTTTGCTTTTGAAACAACATCGGTATCGAACATCAATGTAGCATTCACTGAAGATGGAAACAAGACACTGTATTCAACATTAAATGAAGAACACACCAGTTCGTGATGGGGCTGGGTCCCGCCAAATAAATACACTTCAGCAATATGACTTTTCAATCTCCTTTTTTAAGTCTTCACAAAGAAGGGAAGATAAAATCTAGTTCAACGTTCCAAATATTTCGGCTTTTTCTCCATTGTACGATACAAAATCCATTCTTTTTTGTGTGTGAAGAAAATCCAAAGTACACCGTTTTGACTACCGAAATCAGTAGTGGCTTCCTCCATCACTGGAACCGAGACGAAATACATTTCATGATAAATAAATTATTTACCAATGGTAAAAGAAGATTGGCACTTGAATTACTATGTGTAAGTACAAGGATGTAAGTGAAGACATTGAACATATTTATTCTTTCAGTTGACAATGGCAAAAGTAATGAAAATACGGTTGTGCCTTCGCAATGTGTATTTTGCGCGAAAACAAATTTTTTCAAATAAAATTTGTTTTTTTTTTTTTTGCGACATTTTGACACATTTTGCACACTTGACGGTAACCAAAATACTATCACAACTATTGATATAAGTAAAAAACACTTCTTTCGAAGTTCACAGTGTGACGCAATACTGTAAATCTAAAAATGGTCTGATATAAATTTTCAGTGACGCGTTCACTCAAATATGTACAAAATGTTATTATTACGTCGCCTCTTCCGCCGCAAAAAATATGGAAACGTACACTCTTTGTAAAAATAACTAAACCGTTCTCCCATTTATTTAAAATTGTATATACTTGCAGCGGCTTAGTATTTTTATGGACATATTACAAAAAATAAAAATTGAAAATAATTGCTTTAAAGTAAAAAACAGCAGATTTTTCGTTCAAAGTGAAACATAACTTTTAGACATGTAAATAATTTTGTGTTTGCATTTTAGAGGCGACGCAATAATAACATTTTGTACATATTTGAGTGAACGCGTCACTGAAAATTTATATCAGACCATTTTTAGATTTACAGTATTGCGTCACACTGTGAACTTCGAAAGAAGTGTTTTTTACTTATAATCTATTACTCCTTGGTGTAATAAATAAAAGTCCCATTAATTTATATAAAACAAGTCTTATTTCGCACCTCGTGTGAACCACATGCATGAACCATAAATCGTTCAGGATTTGAAACCAAACCACACAACAAAAAGACACGTACAATTGGTATACAAAACATCGGCATTGGTGTTTGGCATACGTGTACGGGCTCGAAATGCGTGTTGGCCCGACTTAAACGTTCCGTGTAAAAAGATTCATTGGGCATATACATACACATAACATCATAACATAGGAATGACAACGAAATTCATAATACATATAAAATTAAATTGTGTAAAAACAACAATAAACAAATCAAATAGAATAGTCAATGTCATCCTAACATAGCCATGTTCTTCAACATTCTTCATTAAATGACTTTTTTTAAAACATAAATATAACCATCTGCTAATTCATTTGTTCCACTGTCCCATTTTTGGTATTAGTAGATAGATTTTGTCATAACATATATACTTTTTTTGTCATGTGAAGTGTAAATCTAAATATATATATATATATATAATTTTCTGTTTTCTTTTGTTATTTCTTTATAATTTTTAATTCAGGTAACATTTCGAATGCAATTGATTTTTCATTATATATCCAATCAATTAGGAAGCCACCCTAAGCTAATTCATTTTTTGCTCATCTCACATTTTGTTCCACTTCTTGTAAATAGATTTCTTATAGCTCTATATTCGATAAAATATCATTTATAAATCAAACATTGTTATCTGCTCACTTGGTTCGAATAATTTTAATAATTTCTTCATGCATTGTTCATTCTTTTTGAATGTGGTTTGTGTGTGTTTTTTAGTTTGTTTAATGTAATTCATATCGCATTTCAACAAATTTGTTTCACTTGTTATGCATGATAGTGCAGTGTGGTTTGAGATATTTCGTTTGTTGTTGTTTGATTTTGGATCGCATCCAAAAGTTGTGTACATTTACAATTTGTCGAGATATACATACATAGCCAGAGAATATTTGGTGTTGCACCGACACAGACACACACATCAAATGCGAGACAAAATTCTTACTGTCAACTTTTTTGCACTCATTCGCTTTCGTTGTGGGCAATCTGGATTTGCATATTTTATATTCAATTTTAAGTCGATATAATGAAGTGCAAAACCGAAATTGACCACAACAACCGGTAGACATGTGGCGTCTGTCTATGACCAGGCCGAACAATATTGAGTTACAGCAACGAAAAAATGTCTAATCCTTTTCGGTTTTCGCAGACGATACTTCACCTTTCTGTCTCGCAACACATTTCGACCACATATCATTGCAAGAGACTTGTATCAATGTGTTTAAAAAATTCACATTAGTTGACCGCAATAGAAATGTTTTTAGACACAATCACCGCTCTCTCGTCACAAAGAGAGAACCATCAGAGATTAAGGATATGCACGATGCACTTAAAATTTTAATGAAAATCGTATAGAAAATGTCAATAATTGGAATATGCATTTTTTTACATTGAATTTAATCTGATAAATGTGCATTTTATCACGATTACATATGAGAAGCGAACGCGATGCTTGAGTGTTGTCTGTTCAATGTTGATTGCTCCAATTTCAATATGCTTTTTTTCTCTCTCACATAAATCGGTGTGAATGAGTAGAGGAAAATGCCATGAAGTAATACAATGATGTTGACAATACAACCACATGAATGCATTGAGTGTGTGGCATCGATTTATAAATGGTCGGATTCGATTTAAAATATGTGCTGGATATAAATTAATTGTTCAATTTTAATTCTCTCTCTTTCTCTATCTATCTGTTCATTGCATACACATTTGAGCGAACGAGCGCGTTTGCGTTCACTACACGAATGCAAATAGTTATGATGATTGAAATTTATTAATGGAATTTCCATTGAGTGTGCGGTGTCAGTGAAATGATGCAATTTAATATCGTCATAAAAACATACCAAGCATTCTACTGGCCAAACTGTATGGTAGCACACACACGCACAGCATATGTTACATTGTACACGAATGAGTTACTAATTTCAGGATTGACTCTTTATATTGTTTATAGACGGAACAAACAAAAATGTAATGTTTTTTGATTCATTTTAACGTTGAAAAATGTAATGTTTTGGCCCAGTTTAGTGGTAATTTTTGAAAGAATTGTATGCAAAAAAGTAATATATTTCAATAGAATATTTCCATTTATTTGTCTCACTGGCGTGAGACTTGATGTCGGAGTTGAAGTTTAAAGCATTTTTATAAACAATAATCGCATCGCATACATAAACATTTCTCTTTTCGATTGTGTTTACATAAAACGTTTCGACAGACTCCGTGTGATAGCTATGTGTGTTCGTTGATTAACAGTATGCTTCGTAAGCAATAACAGCATTAAAACAACGTATTGATTATTCAAATGCATTTCTGTCTACATATACATTATGTATCACTCTGTGTATTCACTCAGATTTTTCTTAATTTGCTTGTGTCAGCAAAATTCAGATTTCAACCGAAAATCACACATCTCTCTTTGTTTATAATTTGACATTTCTCGCCGACGTTCATTTTGCTTGTTACTTCAAATGTGTACGGTGCATTGTGTTGATTAGTTTCAATCGCAACATTTCAGAAGGAGTTGTTTTGTAAATCAGAACACAATATATTCTGATGGTGAAATGAAAGTGACTAAATAAATCGTTTTCTTCGACAACACAAATAAAATCTCATTTTCATATCAAAACGTTTGAAAAACAGTTTCTGTTCATTTTCAAAATCGTCATCGGCCATTTTTAATAAACGTTTACTTTTGTCGATTCAACAATAATTCTCTATAAATTCGGGTGCATTTTTGAGGTGATTCCACTGTTTAGTAAAGAATTTCACAGCAGTAAGTGTAGCGTCTCTTTGACCGCTCTATATTTGTATATATATTTTTCAAATGAAAAAGTGTTTTAATTAAATTTATGCAATTATTTAATCTCTCTCGCTAGCCTTGTGTTCCAATTGTCGACCATTGCATCGTGAATACAACATTTTCGAACGCGCTTTTTGTCATTTTGCAGTGAATGTGACAGTGTTGTTGGTAAGTACTCAAAAACGAACCATTTTTCTTGATTTTTTTTTTGAAGTGATCAATGGACTGTGTGTCACGAATTTGACAATTTTTTTCGTGTTTTTTTTCTGAACAGATTTAATTTTCATTACAATGAAGAGGAGACGTGCAAAAATAAATTCAGCCTTTAAGAAAAATACGGCAAAATTGAACGACAATGAAGAGTTGCGATCGATAAAACTGTCAGCGCCTTCGGTATTCAAGTCTGAATATTGGGAAGCGCTAACAAATGATACGATGGTACAGTAATATGCTACCTAGGTTCGACATTGTTTTTATATGTTGTCAACATTGCAGCAGATAACGATGATTGGCAATATTTCATTGACAGTGCTGGAAAAAATGTTATACGTGAGTGTTTCGCCGCCGTATCACGAGAAAATTTGGAAAATCCAAAACAACCGAAAATACCACGTGGATTCCTTGAAATGATTGCCGATGATCAATTTGAATGGCCAAGTAGGTACCAAATGGGCAACGCATTTGAATACTTGAATCAACAATATTTGTCAAATGTTACGACAAATTTGACAACGCATTTAGATAATATATTGGAGAACTTCTTGCAAATGATTCGCTATAAATTGAACGAAGACCCTAATCGGCTCATAAAATTTGATGGCATTGACATAAGAAATGCAAAGAACAATCTTATGTTCAATCAAGATTGTACCGGAGGCGATCAACACCGAACGAACAAAATGAATGAGTTGTATGAACAAGTCGCCGTACGCTGTTTACCATCATTTCGCAACCATTTGTCAATGATTGAATACATCGAGAAAAAGTGGTTTGAATCGTTGTGGTTTTTCATCTTCATTCAACGTGAAATAAGTATATTTTTGGAAGAGCATCACGATCTTGTGCAATTATGGCTACGACACCAACGCCATCCGCTTTTTTATTGCAAACCATCCAAGCCATTGCCACCAAAAATAAGAAATTTCACCGTCATACCGATATGTGACCCGCAGTTGAAACACATTAAATTCGATCAAGTTGATTTGATGAGCCTGCTGGCCCAATGGAAAGTTGTGCCGAAGATATTTAACAATGATCATGGAGGGCATAATATGTATAGCCGTAACTATTACAAGGAGAACGAACATGAAGCATGGGCCATTTTGTTCAACATGGACAAGATCAACGAGATCAAGAAACCGAACCAACAGTTTCATCACATGATAGTCTGCGATAGCGTTTCCGCGTCGGTATTGTACAGAACACCAAAGCCTGAGATCGAGAATAATGAGTATAAATGAAAACTCGAGAACAATGAGTATAAATACATCGTCGCAATTGATCCCGGTATGAAAACATACTGAGCCGGAATTCGTCGGAATATTGAAGATCGCACTGAGGTGAGTTTATATTTAAATAAAATGTTTTCTACAAAAATCAATGCTCATTTTTAAATTTTTTTGTTAAAGGAAAATTTCAAGATATCTTCGAAGTCATATCATTGGGGTGCCGGACGAAAAGTCAGAGACAAAATGGGAAAGCATATGACTGCCAGATTCACGCAACGAGAGCAATTGGACCGTGAAAGCTATCCATCGATACCATCACCGCGAGGAATCCGATGGAGAAATTACGTCAGGCATCGATTAACCATGGTGAAAGATGCAGTGGCTGCATATGCTCGGCGACGTTATGCACGGCTTTCGTTTGACAAATACATCGGGTCACAAGGTGAGAAAGATTAGCTGGCGAAAGTAATAACAAAGAATGAGCCATCGCTTATAAACATCGGAGCAGTGGATATGGCACCCAATTCACCAATTGGCATAAAAAAGGAAAACGATGCCCAGGTACACGGCATCTTCAATGCAGCGTTAAAAAACTTGGCCATTCAGATGTACACAAAGTGAATGAAGATTTCACATCTCAACACTGTGCGAATTGCCAGAAGAAATTCCCGATTCAAACACAAAAATATCGATTCAAAGTGTGCCGTAACTGTACTCGCGATGCACCAATACCACAAGAAATAGAACCGTATATCTCACTACCACGGCTAATTGTGACGAAGAAGAGTCAACGACGCAAAAAGAAAGATAGCTGCGTGAAGAAATTGATCGCAAGGCATCATGGATCCAGCAAATCAACCAGCAGAATTTCAACCAGGGCCAATGCAAACGTTGTTCCAGATCAATGATTAAGCAGCGTCGAAATCAAAAAGAAAAAATATAATAACTCTGGTAGTTAGTAGCAAAGCTTGTATTTTGTGGCTTTGGTGATTGTGTATAGTACACATTGTCTAAATGTGTAATTGTACACAGCTCAGTACAGATTTATCTGTAGGTAAGTATTATTTTATCAAATGTTAAAAATGAATTTAATTTGGATGTGGCGCTCAGTTAAATAACATTCGAAAAAAATCCATTTTCGCCGATAGAAATATGGCTCTATAGATTTTAGCTAACTTTTTCTTTCTCCTTCTTTTTCTTCCACTGGTGACGTTGAAAATGACTGAAACTACACACAAATCCGGCCACAAAATTGACCGTCAACATATGCCCGATAATGGATGAATTTGCCCCAACAATTGTTTATTGGGAATTTAACTGCATTTTTCATATTGTATTTGTGTTAAAATTGAATAAATAGGGCATATATATCATTTGATGGAATCTATATCTATTTTCGTATATGAAAACATGAATGAGAGTTTGAAGTATTCTACGAGTTTATAGTACCAATTCGTATTTCTTCCATCTATTGTTACCGGCGATATCTCAACGCAATGTTCGGGAGTGAAAAATGACGAAATTTGAAGATCTATATCCCTTGGAGACATCATCTTTAAATTGTCAGGACTTGAAATCATCTCTAAATTTAAATGCATCCATCAACAGACAAAATGGTTCAGACTGCAGTCAATCATGGTAAAACTCCCAATATATAGTTATTTTGATGTAACTTGCTTCCCTTCTCTAGCTACACACAGAGATATTCTTGTACTACATTATGCCGAAAATAGAATTAAAAATTGAAGTGTCAGAATTACAGATAAAAGTCAAAGATTCATGCGATTTATAGCATTGTACTATGAAAACACTAACATCAATTTAAGGTTATGTATTGAAATTTGACAAGTTATATAATTCTAAAAATTGAATGGGGTAGAATAAAAACTACTTCTCGAAAAATTGGTATTTTAAAACGAAACCTAAAAAAAATTTCAATAAAAAGTGAATCAATTTTTTTTTGTCCAATTGAAGTGAATCAAAAAAATTTTGTTCAATAAAAGTGAACCAAAAAAAAAATTTCACTCGTTTTTTCCAGTGTAAAATACACTAAAATGAATTTTTTTGTTAGGTTCACTTTTATTGAACAAATTTTTTTTGGTTCACTTCAATTGGACAAAAAAAATTGATTCACTTTTTATTGAAATTTTTTTTTAGGTTTCGTGTTTAAACATTTTTCGAGAAGTAGTTTTTATTCTACCCCATTCAATTGTATGTAGTGGTAAGATTTATCAGCTGGTCTGATATGTCCAATTATAATGCTATTTTCAGCATAGTGTAGTATTAGAATATTTCTGTGTGTATTTGAAATAGTTTCAATAACATTCATGCAAATTTGCTTCTCTACACCACGACCGAACAAAAAAAAATCTGTGTATTTGTACAGTTAAGTAGCAGGGAATATATAAAGCGCTACAAATGACTCATTTGAAATGAGTATTGTGGACGAACGAACAATGCTTATTCTAATGGTTTTTCTTTATATGTATTAATATAATCATTAAGTTCCTAGATAAGTGAAAAATTTACAAAGGAAATTCAGATTTTGCCAGTTTTGTGTGCGTAATCATTTATATGAACGAATGGGATAGTGATTAGTGAAAGTCCGAATTGTTTTTATTCCATATCCTTACAATTTGTCATTCCTCTACTATAATATCGGTCGAAAAGATGAGAAATTATGAGAATGTTAAAAATCGATCCTGAAACGTGAACTCCAACTTATACAAAATGGCATATATGGCTGTTACAATTGATTTTCGCTCAATCTTTGGTTTGTAAAATATCTCTTTCTGTATCGTACACATAGTTGGATTTAAAATAGACTTGAATCACACAATGTTCAATATATATTTCGGTGAGTAAAATTGTTTGTTTTGTGTAATTTAACGCAATTTGGAAACACACACGGTTATCTTAAAAAGTACGCAACGTGAATGGTTCACAACGAAGTTTATGAAGTTTCGGGTTTTTTCGAGAATCACACACATTTTCGCCATCGAATTGTTCGAAATATAGAAAATATGATTCGATGGGAAAATAATATTGTTGAAGATAACAGACGCGAAACAATCAATCGAATTCGACACAGAAAATTTGAGAATGTTACAATCATCAAGTAAAAAAAGTCACGTGTTTGCGCGCAAAATTCAAACCACAAAACCGTTGTTGTTTTTTATCTCCCCGAAGCGATTTCGCAGAAGACACACACACACACAAGTGCGTGTGCATAAATTTGTGATTTTATGTGTGTTTGTGAATTGTGACGCTAAATTTCTAATTTATTTATAATAATTTTGTTTTACCATTCCCCCGACCTGATAAACATTTCAGATTAACTAAAATTATTTGTTCGACTTCGTGGAGTTTGTTTTCATATTTTTTTTTTTTTTGTTTGTATTTAGTTTGTCATAAATTTATCATCGCTCTCCGTTTTAAATCTCTATTTCCCAAGAAAGGTTAACTTTAAATAGAACATTCGTATAAAAAAGGAAATGTGCGCACGCAAAAACTCAGTAAATAAATCGGCGATTTAAAATTGCGGAGTAGAATCACAATGTCGATGCCGACAACAAAAAAGAACAAATAATATTGATCGTTGTGCCAGCATTCGGTGTGATGACGGTTTGAATTGAATAATAGTTTTTTTTTGTTCTCTTAGTCTATACTAGTTGCTTAATCGAGTCAACGCACAAACACACACAGACAATCATTTAATTAAGCGTCCACTTTAAATCAAATCGCGACGCATTCATTTACTGAGTGCACAGGACAAATTTTTTGTTTGTTTGCAATGTTTTATAATTTGTGTTATTATTTATTCGGTGCGCGTGTACTTTAACGTTTTGTATTGTTATTGCGTGCGCGCACAGGAGTACACTCATATAATATATATATATTTTTGTTTTTCATTTTGTTGTTGTTGCTTCTTTATTATTTAACACATTTATAATAATTTATTTAAAAACAGAACTAAAAAAGATACGAATTTTCCAATATGAATACGAATCGAAAAGAATAGATCATGTTACAATATCGTGCTACACCAAAAATCATTTCATAATGAGGTATATTTTTTTATTTGTATGTATTTGCCACTTCTAGAAAAGAGTTTTTTTTTGTTTGTATTTTGTTATGAGCAAATCAATGAATATTTCAATTATGTGCGGCTTTCACACAATTTTCACTGTACGCGCGCGCCGGGGGGATAAGGTAGATATGTAGAGAAATAGTTTTTTTTTTCAGTAATCGAAAATGTTTACTAGGATGTGTATGTGGGTGTTGGAGTGTGTGTCTACCATCCCAAAACTAGTCCTCGCCAGAAATAATTCCTGAAGGGCACGAACATGTCAACCAATTTTATTTTTTGTCTTTGTATCTACTCTTTTCCTTTTGCCCGCGAAAGTCTATCTTTCATTCATGCGAAAATTCTATTTCTCTTTCACTATATATAGAGTTCTCTCTCTCTGTGAGTGTTTGATTTAATTCAATAATTTCCTAAATATTTTTTTGTTTTGTTTTAATACATGTTTGAAATATTCTTTATAGTTGTTTTTTTATTTTCTTCTTTGTCTTTGCTAGAGCTAAAGTTTTTTTTATTTAATTAAATTCAATTTGCTAAATACTTGTTGTTGTTGTTGTTGTTTGAGATGCATGCTAAAATGTTGTTGTTTGTTTTAATCGAATTAGATTCGCTGCCGAGGTGGACAGACAGATTCGTTTGACAGATTTTTTTTTTAATTTTTTTTTCGGCTATATTTATTCACTTTTTTTGTACAAAGCAATAGAATGCTTTTATTTTCTTTCTTTTCATCATTTTCTTTTATTTTAAAAATTGTTGTTGTTGTTGTTGTTTGTGTTCATTTTGAAAGAAATGTTAAAAATTAATATACTTTGGTTAGTTGATTTTAGTATTGGATTTGGCATGTACGGCTCTGCGCCCACATATGTGTATATATATAAATTGTTAGTTCGACGTTAACTTTTTCAAAAGGTTCTTTCTCTATGTTGCTCGCTCGCTCATACATTTTTTTTGCTGTTTGTGTTAATTTATTTTGTCTTTTTTGTATCCCTAATGTGTGTTTGAAGTAATTTGATTCTCCTCGAATTTCATTCATTGATTACATGTAACACGACCATTTGCAACACATCAACAAATGGCCAATTTAAGAATAAATGGTGATCACTTCTCGGCCACCACCTCGCACCATCAAAACACGTTCTAGGCCTTCGGTCAACACTTCTAAGAATTCCATATCTGGAAATGAACGAAGGTGGAAAAAGAAAAACAATACAGAAATGGGTCATCGAAAATGAATTGATTTATTTTTCGTGAAAGTAATCTTGAAATTCAAAAAAAAAACTTACAGTTGCTTTCTCGCTCTAATCGTGTGTCTCTTGGCGGTCCGGGTAAATTCAAAATGACCAATTGGGCATCGTGTGATTTGTTTACAATTACTTCATTCAATTTAACTGCCGTGTGCATACGACGCACATTGTCTTCATCCCTATACACAAAAATGGAATAAATGGCAACCAATGTCAATGGTTTGCACAAAATGCAACTTTAAATTGTCGAAATACATACGGTTTTATGCTTTGTTTTGAATTCTCTTCATTGTCCGATTGCTTGTCGAAATCTTTTTCGTTGGATTTTAGTTCGTCCTTTTCATTGATTTCCTTCTGTGCGGGCTTGTTTGGCGATGAATGATTGCTTATATTGTTGCTGTCCGAATCTTTTTCACCGCTATCAGCCGCTTCTTTCTCTGTATTATATTCAGCTGAACCTTTTTCAGCATCTTTATTGGAATCACTTTCCTATTTATCATAAAATTTGTGTGTTTAAATATTCCGGTTTTATTCGCAAAATGAAATTTTCACAAAAAAAAACATTCCAACTATTTTTTAATCAAATCTAAAAACTCGTTACGCATGCATATTTAAAAACAATTGGGTTTTCTTTTACCTTTCCATCCTCATCGGTGGTATCTTTTTCGTCGCCAGGTTCGGAGAAACGAACTTTGGTTGCTGATTTTTGGTCGCTGGCATGATGATGATCGACAATTGTTTGCACCTAAAAACAATTCAAACAACATCAATCAGTCAACTTAATCGATTTAAATCCATATCATTTCATTTATCATTGTCATGCAAATAAAGGTATTTAATTAAAAAAGAATATACATGATCGAAAATCCTGCGGATAAAAACAAATTACAACAAACCAAAATGAAAATAAAAAGTTAAAACGTAAGAAGCAGTAAAAAAAGAAGGTCGCGGCAAAGTAAAAAAAAAGAGCACATACAAAAAAATCCGATTCATTCAATTGAAAACACGATCGTCGTTGTGGTAATCAAATAGCATGGATTTCTTTTGTTTTCGTTAAATCAGTTATTCCGAATGGAAGAAACAAAAAAATATATTCGCCAAAATTAATTCGAATACAAAAACAAAAGAGAGAAATAAATACAATCAACATTAAGGCTTTCCTGAAGTTGAATTGAAAAGGGAAATTCGAAAAAAAACGCAAACACAAAAAAAAAGTTCTAAAACAGGTTCCGTCATGCAAGAAATATATCGATACAAGTACGAGAAGTCGATAGTTTTTTCTAACGCTGGAATTTCATCGGATTGCATTAACTGCTTAGCTGATTGAAAACATTCCGCTCGCACACTTCTTACGGTACGCCATTGTGTATTATGGAAAAATGACAAACACGCACAAAATCCGAAGCATGTACGCGCGGGCAAATGGAATTGCAAAAGAAAAACAATTTCTGGATTTATTTCTGGTTAGATATTTAGCATTGAGAGATAGAGAGATTTTGATGATTGAAATTGAGTATCGATTATTTCGTCGTTTGCAATGCATTCCCATTGAATTATGTTCGAAATTATGCGAAACACAAATATTGCGAACCAAACTGAGTTCATTTCGGTGTGATCAATTCGGAGGGGATTTTTTTGGGGTTTTTTGCCAAAATTTCGTAGGTCCCTAGCAAAATCCATAAGTGGTCTTTGCAAAAGTTGAAGACCAAAAAAATCATTTTTTAGGCTTGCCATGAACATTTTTATGAAATATTTTAGGGAAGTAATCCAAACCCCAGGAACCCTCTTGAACACCTGTGAAGATCGATGTGGATTCATTGCAGCATTGACGCCGTAAAAAATGCTTTTTAATCGAATTTCGTACGCTAAACAGGTGTTCCACACACATTAGCGTTCGATTGCAATCTAGAAATACCTCTTGATATATTTGGGTAAAATGGAAACGGTTTGTGTTGGTCAAAACTATCGAAATCAAATCGTATTGCACAGACTTTCATCAAAAACAAACAAAGATATCTCTGTTATTTTATTGAACGGAAAAAGAGAGAGAGTGGAAAAAGAGAACATAATAAACAAATAGCTTTCATTCATTCTGTATGACTGTCTCTATTGTCTACAGTGTATTCATGCTGGCAATATAGGTTATATCATAATCGATTCGATGTATGCATATTTTGAAATACGCGTTAATTTCTTTCTTCCTTTCATAACACATAAATTCTATATATGTATGTATAGCACTAACATGGATAGATGCATGAACTAGCTCATCAAAAAGATTGAAACTAAAATGAGTAAAAAGAGCAGTTGCCATGAATATAAATAGACCTCCAAACCCATTAACCAAATGCATTTTAAATTACATCAATTTTATTTGGAGAACGGAAATTTACACACACACGCCCACCCTTGAAAAGGGTTCTAAATCAAATCGATCTCAACCACATTCACTTAATGGGTATTGATTAACATTCAATTTGAAAAATTTGACTTGAATTTTGAACCGAATTTTCGTTCGCATTGAAATCAACGATAAGATTTGGCATTTTAAATTTATTTTATAAAGGATTTGCGAGGATTCGACAATTCAAAGAGCTTAGAATTTTTTTTTTATAAAAAGAAACTAGAAATGGAAAAATACAATATTTGTTATCAATCACAGAAAGGTTTATCTTAATTTTTTGTTTCATCAAATTGTTCAAAATTGAGCTCACTAGAAACTGACTGATTTTTTAAACAAAGAATTAGAAGATGAGAGAAAAAAAAACACACGTAAATTATATTAAAATATATACAAAATCGGAGACAAAATGAATAAAATATGAAATGTTTGACGAGTGATGCATTTATTTTGGTACTCAAATAATGACGTTAATTTATTTATATGATAGGTGTGCTGTGGTCTTATGAGACACAATTCTTGTATGCAGTGTGGATTCAAAAGAATAATTGAAAACTTTTTTAAGTGAATTTATAAGCGAAATGCACTATCTTCATTTATAGAAAATTTGTAATTTTCATAATAAAATTTGAATAAAATCAAATCTGTTTCGCTCTCGTCGTTTTTTCCATATATAACCCGCCCCCTTTAGATTATTAAAGTTTTTTTTTTCGTTTGGTGAAGTGACGCGTGCGGAGAATTTTGCTTGTTATCTTAGTTTGAAAATCAAATTTAAACGAATATGATGAATTAACAATTCTTTGCAAATGAGAGAAAATCGATGTGAGGCTCTCATCAAAAGTATGCATACATTTATATCACTCTTGTAAAATGGCAAAAGCGAAGCGAAAAGTTTTATTGATTGACTTGAGTTGAAAAGTTTGAACGATGATGGAAAACCAAAAAGCTGAGAAAAAAAAAACCATACATACACATTCCAAATGATATTGAGTGTTTTTTTTTCCTCGATTTTTTTCTCATTGGACTTTTAACATTAAATATTTGAAATTGGAATATAATCTTCTTAGATTCGTCTAAGAATACTTATGAATGCATTAATTCAGAGAGCGATAATGTGGAATGAGATGTGTTCGTTTCGTATTGAACTGCTGCCACTTGGTGTGTTCGCCATTTTTTTCCCATCGCCCATGCGATCTTGTGCCAATTTTTACGAATCAATAATCGTTTTTTTCTTCTTATTTAAATTGCCTCTTTGTTTTATTTCAACGCCTGATAATGTTCACCGTATCCCGAAAATTGAGACAACAAAGTGGATATTCGAAATAATCATGTTAAATAGAGAATTTAAGATTGGATGAAAGCATAAAAAAATGTGTGCTTCAAAAAAAAAAAAACGTTTCGTTCTGAGAGATAAAATCGGATAATTGGAGTGTGCTTCTCGAACATTCCTTATGTGAGAGCATACATTTTATGTGTGCGTGCGTTGTGTTGTGTTTGTGCGTGTGTGTGCCAAAACCATAATCTAAATATTTATACGCATCAGATTTTGAATGCAGATTTTATATGTTTGCGTGGTGTAGATTTGTATTTTCCCTTTTAATAAATTTAACCAGTAAAAAGACTTAACAGTTTATTTTGGTGCGGCATAAACTCAAGAGGCATGATTTATTGTATTAAAATTGTGTGATTCACTCTATTGGCGCTCAATTTTCCAGCAAATCGAAATGAAAGCAGAAAACCTTGCTTTTGCAAAAAAAAAAATAACAACAATGATAAAAAATATATCTGATAATTTCTCTCTTTCTCTCTTTCGTGGTTTCGATGAACACGAAGTCACACTAGCCAAATAAAAAAAAACCGATGTGCAAAATCTTCAAGTGTACGGTCCATGGGGCGGATCATGTATATGGTTACGACTCACGAGCTCTCGATAACCATGTATGTGCACTTATTCATATAATGATGAGCATGGAGAATGTATGTTTTCACAACACAAAACCAAAATTTATCGCTGGCTAAATAAGTACATTTTCAATCTGGTCGAGTTATATAATATAGTAAAAAAACCTCAAATAAATTGTACAATGTAGATTTCAAATAAAAAAAAAATCCAGTTGTACAATGTACACGTTTCTGATCCCGGTGACAATGAGCAACAATTTAAAATGCATAAAAGCCGCGTAAATAAAATTTGCAATTCAATTAAAAGGTGCAAGTGAATGGTTACTATTTGCTAAAAACATTGTGTTGACATCAAAAAAGCACATATCGGAACAGAACCAAACAACACTAAAACTAATGCCATTCGAGAAAAGGGAAAAAATGGCGACATTGTGTCGGGACACAAATTCAATCACAAACGTCCACTAAATTTGAATAAAAAAATGGCACTATTTTATAACCCATTCTTTAAAAAAAAGCACTATGATATATCAACGGAAAGGCGATAGTTGAAACAACAGTAAAAACAAATGAGATGAAATATTCAAATGCCAGATCACAACCTCATAACAAAGTGTAACAAAGCTATTTTGGACAAGTCGTTTGTCCTATCACAACAAACTAATACATAATAACACATAGCAAAAGTGACACAGCAGCCCTTTTCTACTTTAATCATTTTCAAACGAAATGCCATTGAGGGTGGGTTTTTCGATTCTTTGTCGATTCGACGAAAAATTAACATGCAAATAGATTGTACATCAATTTTACCAGATCGTCCAATGAAATATTGTGCAAAATTATGATACATTGTAGAGAGAATATTCAATTAAATTGTTGAAAACGGCAAACCACATCAAAGGCATGGATATTTTTCTATATGTATAGAATGGAGTGCTATCATCGTCGAAATATGTCGAATATAAAAAAAAATCGTCGGAACAGTAAAAGAAGAACGTTAGGCGATAAAACTTCGATGCAATTGTTTTTATTTAAAAATTCGACAATTGATCACATCAAATGTTTAATAATTAATTTCAATCAATTTTATGAAATTCCGTAATTGAAGCACTGGAATGGAACATTTGCCATTTCATTTTATCGCTAGATCTTTTAAAAAATGGCTCATTTTATTGAACACTTTGTAGATTCTTTTTATACATTGTAAAACTTTAGAAGCATTTGCAGAACGGAATTTTTTTTTCTGCCAAAGTGCCCGCTTACATTACGTAAAATTGTGTTTGCTTCCATTTTCATTGCATAAAAACGTTGAATTTTTATCATCGAAAACGAGAAAAGTACGACAAGTCATCTATTTAATACTGATGACGATATACATGAAATTGTTAAAGTTCGAAACGAATTCATCGAATGAATAAAACATGAATAAATGATTGATCGGCACATTCGATTTCGGCTCCAAAGGTAATAATGATATTTATATTTATGATTTCCGATATGCGTTATGATTTATTGGTCGTTTGCAATTATATTAACCGAACCGAGAGGAGTACGGTAACGATGTGAATCAGATTGGCATTGCTATGGAAATGCCAATTGATCAAAAATGCTGAACATTCCAGTGTCATCTTTAATGAATAATTTCAAACTTCAAAGCGTTCACCTTTGCGTGCGTTTTGTGACGAATATTCGTTCAATATCATTCGGAAAATGAGACCAGTTTTGAAGTGGACACTTCATTTACTATAGTTGTTTGGAGAAAGAAAATCAAAATTATGTGAATTCAGTCAACGTGAATTTTCTGTTTGGTTTGATGTTGAAATCTGACCTTTTTGTTTGTTCCTTATTTCTACCTAAGAATTGAACGAAAATCACAGCTTGTTTCGTTAACAGCATAAAATTTGAGATGGTTTTTTTTATATCTTCGCAGTAAATGGGTCAAATCACTTCAAACCAGAAATTGATTGCAGACAATTTCCAAAATTAATTACGATATTCACAAATTGTTGTGAGATTTTTTTTTTTTTTTCAATATTTATGTCTCATCCATTGAGCTTTTAAAACCAGTGCAAATTGTCTCTAACTATTTTCAAAAATCAATTGAGAGTATATGTAACAAAAAAACTATATAAACGCTAAAAAATAACTTTAAAAAACAGCCGACAATGTCGTCACACCAACAAACAATCGCACATTGATTCTCGTTCAGTATTTGTTCGTTGTGGGAAGATTTTTTTTGTAATATATCGAATGATAGTGGTTCGATAAAAGCAATTGCACAAGAAAAAAAGTGTGTGTTCACATGAGCAGCACGTCATTCCGCTCTCAAGTTATTTAGTTCAAATGTGCAATTAACATACCGCGGCGAACGGGCCATTTTTTATTGATGTGACTTGGTTTTTAATCGGTGTGTAAAACAAAATTGAAAAAAAAAAAAACGAATATGCATTGAATTGTATTGCGTTGAAAATTGCTTTTTTTCGCATTTGATAAGCGATTGCGAGGCAACACAAAAAAAATCGGTAAAATTCAAAAACACTTTTATCAGAAGTGTGAAAAAGTTGGAAGCACAATGACAAAAAAAAAACAACCAATGAAAAAAAGCTAAACAAATATCGAAGAAAATGTTTTACAAAATACACGAAAATGGTCAGAGCACTAAATAGAACGCGCTAAATTGAAATCAAAATCAACAATCCAAGCAAAATGAAAAAGAAAAAACGCAAAGTGAAATATGAACGAATAAAAAAACATATCGATGAAAATATTCGCATCAAAAAGATGAATCGAGGATGATAAATAAAAATTGGCTCGTAAACTCTCTCGGGCATTTGAATCAAACAAACAAATGATCAAAAACAACAACAAAAAAGAGAAAACACACGCATGGAATATGTTGCTTTGAAAAAAAAACGGAAAAAAATAACAAAACAACAAAATGGATGAGATAGAAAGATGAAAATTGGTTTTCGTATTATGAAATTATTACCAAAGGAACACTATCCTCTCCGCTTGCTTCGCTGAAATCCACCAAGGCTTGCACCTGGGTTCATAGTATATTTGCGTTTGATTTATGTTGCAAGACAACAACAAAAATTACGTCATGGAACAGTGTATGTTGATGTGATTAAATATATAGTTTTTGGTTTTTTTTTTGTTTTAAATTATATATTTCAGCCAACCCCAAAGAGACATTCAACGAGATTGACAAATTAAAACCATTCGATTCATATAATGCAGAGTTCGAAATGTATGTGTATGTGTGGTTGCATGTGGTGTATATACATATTTTAAGAAAAAAAGAGTAGAGTTAAGAATTGAGGGAGAGAAAGAGAAAAAAAACATTGAATGACTTTAGTGTGGAATTCATTTATGGATTAACTCATTTGTTTGCTTGAATGTGGTTTTTTTCTTTGATTTTTTTTTCTTAGTTTACTAATCATTGAGTAAAACGTAAAAAATGTGATCTTTTATATGTATACTGAAAAACATTGGAATAGTGATTATGGCGCAAGATTTTATTTTTATTTACCGTAACGTATATGCAAAACATTTTTGCCGTTACGGATGTGATTTAATTTGAACCGAGACACTTTGCTTGTGTCTGTGCGTATTTTAAACAATTATATACATTTTGCGGGCATAAATCAGCATGTTTCCAATGTTCTTCCAACTAGAAAAAGTTTCTTCGTTGTTTTGAGTGAATAAAACATTTCATGGTGCGGTGGACGAATGCTTTTGTGACGTATTCTATTCATAGCCGTGCAATAGAGTAGGGAAAAAACCTAAAGTTTCCTCCCATTGATTTTCGACGAACGACCGTCAATTGGAATCTTTGCTCGTCAATTGGAGTCTTATTTGTTGGGCCTTACACCGCTATGATTCAACACTACATTCATCATGTTAAACAAGATTTTCGTCGGCTCATGAATCATTCAACTGAAACACGTGCTATTTCACTCGTCAATCGATATTTAATTTTTCATCAGCTTAAAAAACTTGATGGTCGTGCCTGGTTTTTTCTTTCTCTTCAGTCATCTTCAAGTTGAAATTTCTTCAACTTCCAATCTAAGTCTAAGTGAGACGATGGTCTCAAATGGTAATGGACATTTCATTCCATTTTCAATGTCACACACAAAAAAAAACTTTGTCGACGAAAAATTGTATTCATATAATAAATATATATATTTTTATCAAAGAAATGTTCAAACTTACCACACCGAGACTCTCTTTTTTGTTCAATCGCAACTCTCGAAGCATTTGATTTCGTTGTTCCATCATGAGCGTTCGTTCGTAAGTGTATGCCGATATATCACTATTCATCTGGAAACCAATGACAACAACAATAAACATTTAATGCATTTTGAATCAAAATGATCGAGTGTTAATGTAGGCGTTGCAATAATAAGAAGAAAAAGCAAAAAAAACACGAACCATTTCAACAACTTCTACTTCGGCTTCGATGCGCAAATGATAGAGGAATGTCTTCAGGTCTTTTTTCATTTGAATAGAATTGTCTTCGATTTGAGCAACGGTGAAAATGCGCAATTTACAATTTTTCCAGGTACGATGCTGTTTCAATAGGAATGGCAACAACATTAACAAACCACCATCATGAACAATCCACCAAATATCGATGTAACCTTTGATCTGCAACCGAAACGAAAAAAAAAATTGATATTAGATTTATGTTTTGTGCCCATTGCCCAATTCCCTGTGTCTCACACCATCACCACCCCCGTCACACAGGTGAAAGATTTATGTGGGAGCGAGGTTGGATTGCGTACCTTTTCAGTGGAATCGGGAAAGAAGTTGATGCCTTTTGGAATAACAAGTGCCATTCGAGATGAGGCGCACACTCGGCACGTTTCCAAGAATGCTTTCCATGTGCGATCATGTTCACTTTGACGCCAACCGTATGGCCAACCAAGAATGACTGTATTCGGTTTCAAGCCACCCAAACCACATGTTTGAACGCTGTTGTTGTTGTGTATGGCACACAAATCGACAGAGAATAAAAATTTTGTTAACAAAAGAATGAAATAAACTTTATTTTTCGTCCTCAAACAAGGCCAGAAGAAATATATATTAACGAAATTGAACTTTGGCTTGACAAAATGCGAAAATTGTGATAAATTGAAAGAAAAAATAGAGAGAAACGAAAAAGTTTTCTTTCTATTCAGTTACGTTAGTTTTGTTGAACGAACTTTGTTACACTTACATTGAAGATAATCCATCGACGGTGTTACGTGAGACAAGTACATCAACGAAACCCTTAACTCGTTCCTCTTCCATAATGCGACGAATATTTTGCTTGGTTTCGGCGGCTTTATTTGCCTTCTTCGTGTATTCGCCATTGACAACCGATACGCATACCGTTAATCCTTTGCCCGCTTTAAGTTGCGATGCAAATGAAAATAGTTTACGATATTTTGGTAAATTTTCATCGGTCGGTTTAACCAATATCAAAATTTGTGGTCGCCAATTCTTGGTATGCGGTTCAGCTTCTTCCAAACGAAGTAGAGCATATCGAGCGGCGGTAAGTGACATACCACGAATACCATCACCCCATTCCTTTTCAGCTCTGTATATACATCAGTGGTAGAGCATGGAAAATAGCAATTGAAATGTCACAAAACAAACAAAAAAACACAAATAGAGACAGGGAGAGAAAGAGAGAGAGAGAGAGAGATAGAAAAGAGTAAGAAGAAAAGGAGAAAATTATTTTGGATAATTCTTATCGGTCTATTTAAATAGCTTCATTTAAAATGGTGAATAAAAAAATATGTCATGCTATATGATTGATGTTGGAATTGTAAAAATGAAAAGAGAAAAATGTTGAAACAAAAAACACACACAAATAAATGACAAGCAAGGCAAACAAGATAGAGAAAAACTTATTTATCGATCATATCAATTACCCTCGGTATTCGATGTATTTATAAATAATAACGGCCATTGTCATCGCCAGCAGTGCCATATACCACGATGTCATGAACATTATGGAAACGCACAAGCATACAGCAAACAATGACAATGACCAATGATAGAATTTGAAACGAGGTCGCCAATTTGGTGTTCGCAATAGTGTTTGTACGGCACAGGCCAAGTTCACAAAACCGTAGCACATCAAGAAGAACATCGATAGCAACGGTGCCAAAATATCCACATTACCTATTTGAATTCAATTTGAAATGCAAAACAAACGATAAACACGGTGGAAAAGAAGAAAAAAAGAGAAAACAAGGGAAATGAACAACTTACCAAGTAAAATGCCACATTGGCAAATGCACAACGTTAAGATAAGTGCTCGGGTTGGTTCGCCACGTTTCGACGATACAGCAAACGGTGCTAAAAATGGTACCGTCTCGTCTCTGGCAATTGCTTGAAGTAAGCGCGGTGCACCGGTTAAACTTTGTAAACCAGCGCCAAGTGTTGACAAAAATGAACCAATCAATATGACCCATTCATTTGGCCAAGCCATATTTGCAACAACCAATTTACCACCAATCGATGCTCCAAATCTGTGTGCGGAAAAAAACAACGGAAAATAAAATACAAACCGTGTGTGTGTGTAATTTACCGAATTTTCAGATGATACATACTTATCACGTAATAGTAGATTGTCAACAGTGCCAGCAAATAGAAGGACGGAAGATAAATACACGGTGCTTGTGGTCAAAATTGCACAAATTGTACCAATTGGTATACTCTTTTGTGCATCAGCCAAATCACCCGAACGATTTGATCCAGCCATAATACCTTAAATTGACGAAATGCACACATGCATTTAACAACAAACAAAAAATCCAATCTCTCTATATATAGTTGTGGTAAATTGTTAATTACGATAATACATTGAAATCTCTAATAAATAATCGAATTAAAACAACTCCATGGTTTATGCATAGGCAAATACTACACTCTTATATCGGTGGTATTAATATTTAGTATTTTGGGATTTTCAGCTACAATTAATCCAAAAGGACTAAAAAGTAATCCAATGGGATCATTTTATATTTTTTAACTTGAGTTCAATAAACACTTTTTTGTTGTTTGTAAAAAAATATCTCAAAATGAATCTTCCTTTGGAACACTGTTTCATATTGTATTGACAATTACATGAAACTTCAAATGCTTGTCATTGTCATTCGATTGCAAACATAACCTTTCACGGTCTTATGTTTATTGTGTAAATCACGTGCACCGTTGTCGAAAAAACTAAATTTTGTTTCTGTTGGAATTTCGATTAGTTTGTTTATTTGAATATAATTCTCAATAGAATCCTTTTTTCCATCGCTTCTGTGCAATTTATTAGATTTCTGATAAAATGTTTTATAGCTAGTGAAAACAAAGTAAAGAATTGATTAGCGAATGGTTTTCAATAGAATTTTGGGTCGGTTCGCATCAATATCAACATTCCATGTCACAACCGCTTTTGTGTGCTCAGTGATTTTTTTTCAAAAGGGTAACATGGCAAACATTTTGCAAAATTTTAAAAATCCATCAGAATCTTGAACAACCGAAACACTATCGTAAAATGCGTGTTGACGAAAGATTAATTCTTGCTTTGTTGACGAATGATTTTCAATAAGATTCTTTTGCATCGAATATCAACATAAATTCCGTATCACACCTTTGGGAGTGTAATTTAGCGAACATTTTGTCAGCATTTGAAATCGGACTGCAGAATTATGAAATTGTATTTATGCAAGAGCGAAATGAACGCATTGATATTTGTTTATTGTGAACCCGTTCGATCACATGAATCGGTGATTGTATATTTTGATAAATTTTTAGAGGCCTGTTTTTAAAATACCAGGAACCTATAAATTCATCAACAATAATACATTGCTAAGTCAACCGATTTTTGAGTATAATTAATAAATTTATTTGATGGCATGCATAGTCTATCATAGTCATTGTAGTTTTTGATAAATATAACAGTGGCCTGAATATTTTCAAACCGGCACTTTTATATTTATCAAAATATATTTTGATTATTCATCAATATTTAGAGGTATATATTACACCACCGATATGGTGGAGATTCCAATACGTTAACAGTTGCTAAAAATGAGCGGTCGCAAACGGAATCACGAATCGGCGTTTAAGCCACGAAAGAAGATAAAAATTAAAGAACACCAAACAATTAAAAAAAAAGTGCTCGAAAAGGTTTAAAAGTGAATCTGCCCATTAACACTGGAAAATTTGCTCAGTTGATTGACGTATACGTATTAGAAATGTAACGGTGCTACATATTGGGTGCACTGAATTTGCATTATTTCACCAGTGATCATTTCAAGCGCAGTACAGACGAGCAAATCGAAGCATTCTATACTCAATTCGTCGACAAAAAATTTTTCGAGATTGGTTTTACGGCGTTCAGTTCATTGAGCATGCATTTAACGACGCCAGAGAAAGCGGGTACAGGTTGTGTTACGGCATTTGGTACTATTGCCAAAAATACGGTGTTCGAGCTCCAGTAATTGGAGGATTCGGGAATGTAGTTGAATACGCAGTACAAATGTTTTATACAAATTACAAAAATAATATTTGTATGCACGCTCACTCACGCATCCGAAAGTTTTTCACACATCAAAACGCGAGCAAAGCACAAATTGATGACACCATGGATTTCTTATTCAAGCAAAACTCCAACTGTGTGCCAGACCTGGGTTTGATGTGGGAACTGGAAAATACATTAAAGTCAATCCGATTCGACGATGGGAAAGGGTACTTTTTTGCTATGGAAAGCAATTGGTTCAAATACATACCAATATTCCTGAATTTGCAACAGTGAGTTTTCGTTCATTTATTATTGTGAATCAAACGATTGTATTTTTTATGCGATTTTTTTCCATTTTGAAAATTCTACAATTATCACACGAGTAATTTTATCAATTTATTTTTTGGAAAATATACAAAAATAGGTACTTTCGCAATCATGAACGTGAACGAAAAGCCGCATTGAAGCGAGGTGAACGAACCGAGCTTCGTGAATACAGAAATTTCACCGTGGTACCAACGTCATCGTTCGAAAGACATTACATTCGAATTGATCGTAGAGTGTTTTATCGCATGTTAAGACAGATAGAATGTCCACATCGATTATTTCGCAATAAAAACGGCGGCCCAAAACAGGAGGAAGACATCAAAAATAAAGAATGGGATGTATTATGGCGTCTGTATTTCGACATCGATAGCATCGAAAGAGAACCGAGAAACAAAAATGATGGCCATGCAACAATAAAATTCGACAACTCCATTCAAACAGATGGTGTCGGTATGTCATTTTTGATGGAACGAACAAAATTCATCATTGAAAAAGACGATGAAGAGCGTATGAAAGAGACACAAGAGATGCTTCTGAAAAGCCAACAAGTGTATGGTCTCGATCCTGGACTACGTTTGGTCATTGGTGGTGTGCGCATTAACAATTTCAACGATCGAAATAATCGCACTGAAACAATCAATCGATTGACATCGGGCCAATACCAAGATATGATAAATTCATCGCGACGGAACAAATGGCGCAAAAAGTTGACAACTGAAATCGATGAAAAGATGCGTCTACATCGTGAGTCATTTGATGAGCAGCCTGGTCCACGAGCCGAAGACCATAAATCATATGCTGATCATATTTTGCGTCATTTTGAAGAAAAGTTCACAGCATACACACAGTATGAATACGCTTTGCAAGCATTTCTCCAGTACATTGACACGAATAGAGCACTTGATGCATATGCAACCAAGCTCATCGATGGTAAGCAAACGTTCATATTTGTCGGTGATCGTTTCATTGCGATAGATTCACCAGCCCGAGGATATATTCGATCGAAGGTGCGAGATTTGTTCGAGAAGTTGAAACGTCGCCGTAAATGTACAGTGGTCGAGGTGGACGAATTTCGGACGACCAAATTATGTTCGTTGTGCTTCCGTGAACTTGAAACCCGACAAAAATTGGCAAAGTAAAGGAGAAATATCGCTATCTCACATGCCATGGATGCGAACCATTGTGTGGAGAAAATGTGCTTGGAAAAGCCCAAGGTCCGATTGAATCACGAAAAAGCAATCGCAAATTGACGCAGCAACGAAAACATCGTCCCCGTACTGATGGTCCACGTATGGCATCAAAATTTCGTAAATATAAAGAGAAAACTCGAATTGGGCGTACTATCACCTGGAATCGTGATGCAAATGCAGGTCGTAACATTCTCTACAAAGGTTTGTGTTTGTTAAATTGATATGCTCTCAGTTTAATATGAACAAGTCAATGAACAATAGACAATGAATTCGTTTTTTTTTATTCCTTACAAACAAACAGGATGGTGTGCTGTTATGAATATAGAGCTACATCCAGCATTTCAACGGCATGTTGAAAAAAAAAGAAGAAAATGCAGGAGGAGGAGATCCGACGCCAGCACCACCAGCACGAGCTCGACAATCAAGACGAGCAGCATCCAATCAAGTATGTAATCATTTCTATAATTCTGCTTTGAATTTATCTAATCAATTGAAGCTACACATACTTTTAATTTACGTTCATATTTGAAAATTGATATAATCATTGTCATTTTCAGAATCAACAAACAACACAACGAACATTGCGTTCTCATCTGGATCAAGCGCGGAGCTCTCGGCCGTAAGCCCTGGGTTTTGTGCGGGATTTCAACGTGGTCCTACAATTCGCTACAATTAGTAAGTATTTAAATTTAATCCTACAGTGCTAAAATTTAATCCTTTTGGATTATTTTGATGAAAAATCCCAAATGATTAATATTTAATCCCTTCTATTTTACAGTGTATAAAATCCACAAAACCATATAATACTCAAACAAATGCACACTTACCAGTTACAGACGGGAAGAAAATGCCTATCAAAATCGTAAATGTTGTTGTGATATCCGCATAAATTTGATTGTAATTTTGTGATAGACGTTCATAATCTTCGGGATCACTTCCGTACGCAACGAATTGGAATTTCTGCATTTATGCATTTTAAATCGAATTAGTTTATCATTGGACTACATAACATATTGACTTCAAATCAATCAATTTAATCACAACCAATTTTAACGTATTAAAATACGGCACATTTGAGAATTGACAGAAAAAAAACAGGAGAAATATACTCACTTCCAGGAATGATGGGTAAATATTATCGAAGAACACACCACTTGCCAAGCCTTTAATACCTTTTACAATTGACACATTGTGACCTATTCAAATGAATGACAAACATTTTATTTAATAATCTCATTTTTTCATGATGTGCAATAAAAAAAAAATGACCAAACTCATCATCCGTTCATTTTATTCTTGCATTAAACTAAAACATTCTTTTAAACGAAAAATAAATGCTTGTTTTTAACTTACTCTGGAAATATGGATCACATTGGTTATCTTTACAGAATAACTTGTACAGATTACCGGTTGAATTTTTGTGGCAGCCATCAAGCGGAATGTCTTTAAGCAATCGTTTCCCAAGTACGCACATGCTAAAATACAGAAAACATTTCAAATTTCATTTGTGGCTGATAGAGTACTTTTTGCCAATTTAAAAGCAGAAAAAAAGCGACTATTCTCCAGGAGTTTCCATTAATAAGGCGAAACATTTGGTTTTATTTTATGTGTCGTCATCATCAAAAAGTGGAACGTAACCCAAGAAGGTCATCCCTTCGAATAAAACCGAGAGGGAGTTTGAAAATTGAAAGATTTAAACAAGGGTAAAATGGAAAAAAGCTTATGGTTCTTCTTTTTTTTCCACTGCTGGAAAATGTGATTTCAACAAAAATCCTATTTGAAAATTTTTGCTTTAAAAAAGTTTGAGTGAGGTTTAAAATTTGTTACTCTCGATCATTTTTTGGGGTTATTTAAGAGCCAAAATGAAGCCAAAATGGAATTAAATCATAATAAGCTCTAAAATAGTTAAAACATATTGAAGTTTATTTGGTTGCGTTAAATGTCGTTTGGTTTGAAAAACTTTCCATATACCTATAAACAGTGTGTGGGTAAAAAGATACACAAGTTGACATCGAAAATCCATATAAAATGAATTTGGTATGGTTTGACAAGCAAATAAAAAGTCGAAAGAACGAAGAAAAATATGTACATAGACAACAACCAACAAAAAAAAAAAATGAAATAAAATGTCATTTATACTTACTAAAGTTTATCGTTGCCATTAAAATTATCAAAAATACCAACATAAACGGCAATTATGGAACAAATAACACAAGTTAATGCAACGGCAGCAAATTTATTCACGAACTTTACGCCAACAAATACAATCGTTCCTGCAATAAAACAGAGAAAAAGATAGAACATTGAGAGAGAGAAAGAGAGAGAGAGAGAGACGCACTTCATCCAGGCTCAAACTTTATTTTCGTGTTTCACATATACAAAATAACTTTCGATGAAAAAAAAACTCATTCACACACACTCACAGAGAGACATTGATATGCGAAACGAGAAAAAAACCCAATGAAAACATCATGGTATATCTAATTTTGGTTGCGAAATTTGTTGTCTCCATCGCATTATTTGATAATCATTTACCATTTTTGCTTTATATAGAATTCTCTCTGGTTTTTTTGGCTCATTTCAGCACACACCAATGGTTTTAAGCATTTAAATATGCAAATAAATCTATTTGAATACATAATATATGAACAAATGGTTTACCCCGAAAATCGAAAAAAAGGACCACAAGAACACGAAATTTCAAATGGCATTCATTTTTCACAATATAACAAATATATTGTAGTTCAATTTTTTTTCGTTCCAAAAATACATACCCATTAAATAGAGTAAAATTGTTCCATAGACACGGAAATTGTTGTGCATCGCACCTTCAAGATCCACTTTATCAACAAATATCGCCGCAAATGGAGCCATATAGGTCTGGAAAATAAACATTTTATAACGTTAATTAAGTCATTTTCTGTTGTACCAAAATGGTGATTCATCTTTCTTCTCTCTCTCTCCCTCATACTGCCGCTTTTTCTTGCGCTTACTCTTCGCTTCATTTGGTTCATTTTCGATTTTAAAGTCATGTATCACATGCAAATTATACGGAAAGAGTGATGCTATTTATATATTTTAACTTACCAGCACAATTTCAACGGCACCAACAATGTACATAGCCGCTGCTAGTGTTGTACCCGTATAGAATAGCAGTCCGACCGCACCACCAAATTCAGGTCCCAACGATCTGCAAATAATATTTAAAAAAAATATAAAATTTAATAATTCCATTTAAAATGCTCGGCAGCGCATAGAATTGTGACATTAACAGCAACTAAATAAAAACATGCTTATTAAATCATGGATTTATTTTTGTGATTGATTTTTCCATTTGTGGTATTTATATTTTCATATTGGTTTCACTTTTTGTATTCTCCTTGTGTATATTATGTTCAATAACAGATATTGTGAATGCGAACACACACATTTTGTGCATTGCAAATAAACTGAATTAATGAAGATAGCGTGCGAGAGTGAGAGAGACCATACCCATTACCTTTCGTTGTGTGTTTTCATTCAATTAACACACAAAACCTAGATGCACACGATAATCATTAATTTGCAAATTATTTATGATTTAAAAGACCAAATGTTATGCTTTTATTTTTAATTCATTCAAACAAAAAAAAAATTATTGCACTTTGATTTCGTTGCTACACATTTCAAATTTAAAATAAAAAAAACAACAACAACAACAACAAAAACCGAAAGGGTAAATGTCCCATTAAAAATGCCCTTGAATCCAATTCACGGTTATTTTGAACACTCGAGATACAATGTTCAAATATGTATATGAAAATGTGTCAAACCATTAACAACCATGCCGGAAAAGAAAATTTGGTAGAAAGTTTTTCGGTCCGGTATGTAATGCTCTAAATGAAAACGAGTGTGTAAATATTTTATGTGTTGCATTAGGTTTGTCCCATGTGACTCAATCAAGTTCCCTTATGATGAGTGATAACAACGTAACAGCAACTGACGTAGAACAAGAAAAAAAAATCGATTCACGCGACCATGCAACACGAACTTTTTTCCATTCGTTCGCTCAAACAGGCAGCTTTTTACGATTTCGCAAACGAATCATTAATAAATTATTTTTGTTATCTTTTGCCTAAAATATGCCAAGTTTTAGCTTGAGAGATGTAAAGTGCTTCGTCGAAGAGAGAGAAAATCAAAATAAAAAAGAACGATGATAAGAGGAATGTGAAAAAGGAGGAAGTGAGCTGCAAGGATTGTGTCAGTTTGATGGATCATGAGGGTGGCTTGCGAAAAGACGGCAGTGCATAAAGCCAATGCTAAAGTTGCACTATCTATCACTTTTGAGGTATTTAAAAATTGTAAAAATAGAGAGAGAAAAATGAACAAGTTGCCTGTTGTCCTAATCACGACTATGATTGATAGCGATGCTAAACCTGAGTTCAGAGAATGTGCTCGATGAATATTCGAAAAAGACTTCGATCTTCTTCACATTTTATTTAAATGATGAATAATTTTGATTTTGCTGATGGGCAACAATTAAATGTTTTTTCATCTTAAGTTAAAGACCAATGCTCTTATAATCGAATTTGATGCTAAATTCATGGCATTATCTTTATTGTGCAGAGCATTTAATCTCATTAAGAAGATGATACTGTTAAGATTAAAATGAAATTGAAGCCATTCGACCTTTGATCCACAGCACCATCGCTCAAATTCACATGGTAATTGTGTCTTATTTTAGATATTTTAGATTTCCAACATTGCTCTTATCGCATTTTGGCAAATTCCTTTTGTCTTTTCTGTATACTCTCTTGTTCGCAGTTAATCTCGGTGTTAAATTCATTTCTATCATTTTCAAAAGTCCATTATTTCTAAACAAAAAAAAAACGATTTCGAGTAAAATCATCTGAAATTGTATTATTGTTTTCTATCTGTGACTTTCTCCCTGCGTCTCTAAAAATCTCGAACAGAGACTGAAGGTAAAATTTGTATGCTTTTATTATGTTCGCTCTCTTCGAAATCCAAACAAAATCAAATTGGTTGCAATTTGACAGCTGACTATCAACCGAAAATGTTTTATGCTGCTTATTACACGTACGTGCGCCCGTATAGGAAGCAGATGAACCGTATTGCACATCAAAATTCCGGCTTATTGGCTTGACAGAGACGGTCACAATTGAATCCATTGATTGATTGTGGTATTTCACTTAATGATAAATTTTATTTTCACACAAACACAGCCCAAAAGTCTCCTGTTGCTATTGAACATGCACATATGCGTCAAATGGACACGATATGCCACACTTTGCTCGTATTCGTATTCGAGAATTAATTCCGAGGTGTTGGGTGGTGTATTTTCAAATATTGATTCACAATATGAAACCGGAAAGTGTGTGTGTGTTCATAATTATTGCAAATCGGTTTTCACTTTCATGTTCAATTAATAAGCGAGCGATTAAATCGATTAGTATACATATAGTCATAGTTTTACATATTACCTGGATATCATGAAGTAGCTCCCACCAGCCGGCACCACGCCATTTGTAGCAATTGCTGACATTGAAATAGCCGTTAACATTGTCTGCGAATAAGAAAAGAACAAAAAAAAAAAACAAATGAAACACTTGGCCTCGTTGGAATTTCGCTTCTTTCTATGAAATTTACATGGCATTAAAAACCTTTTCCAGCGCTTAAATTCAAATCGATATATTCGAAATGCAAACACTCTTGTGTTGCCATTATGATTCGGTGACCTGATTGTGAAATGATTGTTTTGGACGAAAAATATCGAGATCAGAGTTTCTAAAGGCACCCAAATGGTCGCCTTTTTCTCTCGAGCATTTGTATAGAAAAATTAATCCCAAAGCTCATCTTTTCTTCAGTCTTCATTTTTGCTTTACTCAGAATGGGTTTACTCTATAAAAAAAATCCGGGTTTTTTTCTTCGTCGATTTCCCAAATGTTTTGCCATATTGACAACTGCAATTTATCCGCATTCATCCATAAACTCGGTCAACTACAGAAAACTCCAATCGTTTTCGAATTCTCCCGTTCATTCTTCGTTATTTTCATGTGAATCAAATGCATCATTACATTCGTCAAAAAAAACAAAAAGTGAGAATAAAACACTGATGACCTTCATCAAATGCGAAAAATGGCTTTGATTTGTTAAATTAAAGCGCGAAAATGGTGGTGTTTGTGTCAGTGTCATATTCATTGGACAATATGTGCAGCATTAATTGAATCTCAGTAAATTATTATCAAATTATACAGCCCATTAAATTGATAAATCACATTGGCGGTGCAAATTGCAAGAATTTCATCCCCACAGTTTTTCTGTCCATTTCGAAAATTCGTTGCTAACATTTTCATTAAAATATAAATACATCGACACATGATATAAATTCGATTTTGATGGAAACGAACGTGTATGAACGATGAACCAAATAGCTGAGGCGGACAAGCGACTAGTTGCCAAATGTTGGATAGTTTTACTGTTGTGGACAAAAAATACCGGTAATTTATTAATAAAATGAAAACTCTTTATTTATTCTTCAAAATCGATTTCGTCGCCTTCAAAGTAATCCCCTCGGCTGCAATGCACATAGGCCAACGTTTTTTCCAGTCCTCGAAACAGTGTGTGAAGTCACTTTCTGGTATAGCTTTCAAAACACGTAGCGTTTCGCGTTGAATCTCTTCTATCGACTCGAAACGGTGTCCCCGGAGTGGTCTTTTGAGTGTTGAAAATAGCCAAAAGTCACACGGTGCTAAGTCAGGCGAATAGGGTGGTTGCGGAACGATATGAGTTGATTTTTTGGCAAAATGATCACGAATAACTAATGCAGTATCAGCCGGTGCATTATCGTGATGCAAAAACCACGAGTTGTCTGTCCATAATTCCGGCCGCTTTTTTCGAATTGCTTCACGCAAAAGACGCATAACACCCAAATAATATTCCTTGTTAACATTCCTTGTTAACGGTTTGGCCAGTTGAGCTTGGACTTGCTTTGTCGTGGTTTTTTCGGCTTTGATTCGCCTTTGGCACGATATTCGCTCAACTGATCGGCAGTTTCGGGGTCGTATGCATAAACTCAAGTCTCATCTCCCGTAATGATGCATTTCATTGCCGATTGATAGCCAGAAATCATTCCTTGGCACACATTAACACGTCTCTCTTTTTCAAAGAAATTCAATGATTTTGGAACTTATCGAGCAGCACAACGTCTGAGGCCTAAATGGTCTTTCAAAATTGTTTGAATCGATCCTTTTGAAATGCCAACAATATCGACCAGGTCTCTAGACGTTAATCGACGATTTTTGAGCACAAGATCTTTGATTTGCTTGACGTGTTTCTCATCAGTTGATGTTGATGGTCTTCCCGGCCGATGTTCGTCTTCATCGCGTTCTCTGCCTTCTTTGAACATTTTGTACCATTCATACACTCTGTTTTGCGACATGGACTGATCACCGAAAGCTTTTTATAACATTCTCAACGTTTCTGCAGCAGAAATTTCATTCCGCATGTAAAATTTAATGCAATATGTTTGTTCCAAATTTTCTGTCATTATGAAAATCGCCAAATGAAAATTTATCGGTGTAAACAAACAAACGTAACCAAAAACCTCATAGAGATATTGACATGAAATTTTGTACAGATGTCAAAGACAGTGCTACCAACCTATAGTCGGAAGGTTTTCATGATTACTTTTCTGCGCGAAATTTTATTAATAAATTACCGGTATTTTTTGTCCACAATAGTAGTGTAATGGCAAATGTTGGATGGTACTTACCACACAACAGCAGATAAGGACGATGAGGAAACCACAAATAGCACCAGCCGTTCCAACGACCCATGTTAAACGAATAAATAGAATGACACCAAATATATTTTGAATGCATGGTAGAAATACACCGATCAGTGTGCCTGAAAAATAGAAAGAAAAGAGAAACAAACAATGATGATAATGTTTATTTTTTTTTTTTACATGAACATTTTCATTGGTTGATGCATCATTTTATTGTTGTACCTGTCTCAAATGATTGAAAAGAAAAAGAGGAAAAAAAGGCTTACCCATTCGGGCTGCAGGTGGCGGAGGTTTTGCATCTGGATCTGTAGCAGCTGGAATCGTATTTTGGTAGCTATTAAACGTCTGTATGAACGTTGATACTTGAGGGCGAGTGTCAATCTCATCCTAATCAAGACAAACCGAAAAATGAAACGAAAATGTTGAAATAAACTTTGAACATTCGATGAAAGTTGGTCGTTCGTTTGAACGAACATGTTCGCCCAAATTTATTTGCTCACATCATTAAAAGCTCGGCAAAATTAATGTGTACTGCTACTCTAATGAGATAGTTTCAATGTCTTTTTACACTTCGTCTTGCTTGTCTTTATCGCACACATAAACCGTCTGGTTTTAACAACATTTTACAATACCGCATAAATGATACCATCTCTTTTGAAAAGTCGATACATCTTTGCCATGGTCGCATATACTTTACATGTGTGCGCTTGTCTGTTTGTGCGGTGGTGAACAGTATCGAATTTTATAGTGATGGTTTATTGGTTAAACGCTTTAATCATATAAATTATCATCTTAAGTTTCCAACAACAATCGATTTTAAAGTGAATTTATTTTTACGATTTTAATGCCGTTCTTTTTATACACGAGAAGACTGTTTATGTGTGTGACACAGACAACGTTACAAATTACAACCAAAAATGGTGTATTATTAATAGTTTTTGGAAGAGTACTTTTTTACAAAATTATTTTGAGCTGCTCGTCGCTAAGTAAAGTGTCAATTTTTCCAAATATAATCAATAACCTACCGAATAAAGATACAAATTGGGATCGTATTCCGTTGGTTTTTCATTGTTCGGAACGAATGGCTGATCATCGGTTGCCTCTCCTGTTGAATAAAAGAAAAAAATTGAGAAAGAAAGTGTTAGCGTTTGGTTCTTAATAAAGCTCCACTTTTGCTAAAATCAATTTTGAACATCCGCAACACGAATTTGATTCATCGATGATTTTCACATTCAACTAATTCCATTTTGAACGAAAGAGCGATGTGATGTTTATTCTATTTGAATGCGAAGTGAAGTCTATTAAAACCCTTTTTTGAATTCAGGCCATGCTCAGGCGCCCATAGCTTTCGATGTCATAAATGCGACGGAAATTTGACGACAACGATGAAAAATTATTTTAATTTATTGTCGACAACGAAGCAAACGCGGAAATTTAAGCGAACATGGCATTTTCTTTGAGCAATGAAATTCATTCAAATTTATGCAACAAAAACAATACGTGAATGCGAAGAAAGCAATATAATAACAATAAATGACAGCAAGTACACCACGCAATATGCGCATGCATTAAAATGATTTCTTATTTATTGCGTGGAACCGATTTTTGTGTTGCTTGTTATTTTGCGTGCTTTTCATATCTTTTCCGCTCAGTCATGTTCGTTTTTGTTGTTATTTTGAAACTTTTGTATTTTATTATTTACACCATTAATTTGAATGTTTCCGCTATAAAACCCGTATGGAAATTTTGTGATTCGATGAATTGACGATGAATTTTGCGCACATAAAAATGGTAAGATGAGTGGGTATATTACATGATGGTTTTCACGATGCATGACGACGAATGCTTTCTATAAATGTCAACCATAAAACACATAGTAAATCGGTTGCCTGTTGGAGCGCTTTTTAAGCCTCGCAGCTAATTTTGCAGCCATGAGCTTCTTTGGCACCTTTCTTTCCATCATCCATATCCATTTTTGCAAATGTTTAGATAAGACAAGGACGCTCACGCTGCGGGACAATTTATTCATTTCAAACGCTTGTCCACGGTGGACAATGCACAAATTCATCTTAATAAAAATTAAATGGCCAGTTTTTTTCAACCCCAAGTTTTAGACTGAAAAATCCAATTTAATGCTAAATCCATTAAACGATGTGAAACAGCCCCAAACTAAATGCGAACATCATTTATGGACTGTCACAATTTTGAAATATATACCATTTTTTAAATTTAAAATGAATTAGATTTTTGACGAGTGGAACAAGAACGACAAGAAAGAGACAGATTTGTGAACTTCGGAACATTTCGGAATGAAACGGTTTTTGGTATAAGCCCCGGTTTCGAGGAAATTAAGCGTCAAAACTAAAAACATTGCCCAAACTATATGTTAAGCTCATAGATTCGGATATAGGTCATATAGGTTGTATTTACACCCACCCCCTCCTCTTAGCGTTTCGACAGCAAACTGGGCAGACAGGGGGAGGGGGGTATTACCCCCTCCTGAGACATCAAATTTTTGGGTTACCCCTTTACGTAATTCATAGTTTTGGATAGAATTCTTCTTATTTTCCTAGGGTTTTTGGATCATAGCTGAAAAGAACCTTGTTCAATGTACACTGAGTGAGACGTCCATACAACTAAAATGTGGATTTCAATGCGAGTGAGAGAAGCAAACACATAAAAGGCTCACTTTTTATACAAGCTTCTTTCTTATTTTGCTAAGAGTTTTTAAGGAAATTACCCCTGATTTTTTCAGTCTGCCCAGCTATGATGCTCTTTCGAAAAACTGTACACAGAATCTCCAAAAGTGTTAGGTACAAACAGTCAATATAAAGGATAAACTTGATAAATGAATCCACAAATACTACATTGATTTTGAAAACGAGGCGATTAACGAAATAAAACTCTACAAAGTTCATATTATTGAGATTGCGTGAGAGAACAGTAAAAAAAGTAATGTATTTTCAGAAGTTTCCTATCTATTCAAGTCAATTTATCATAATAAGTTAAAATATAATACACTGCCAGTTTTTGGCCGTAGAGCTTAATGTGAAACGTGGAACCGTACTACTAAGAAAAACAAACTACTCGACATTCATATTTTGAATTTTTTGCCACAATTTTTTTAAAATAAATTACACCTTGAAAATTGATTTTGCCAATATTTTCCTCATATTGCCTCAACGACTACCTATGCGCTCCCACTTCAAAAAGTTAGTAAATCCTATAAATTATATAGATGGTTTTCTTAAAAGCTGCGCTGATGATCCATAAATGGTGAAATCGTTCAATTCAATTACTGAAATGAGAACGTCCAGATCTACCTAATAAATGCATGACATGGATTTCGTTTTTCTCTAAGGTTTTTGTCAATGCCATAATTAAATTGAAATTCCAAAACTCTTCACAAGTTTGATTGGCTAATAAGCTATATAGCGTTAGAAATAGGACTTTGGGAGCTATCATCTGGCGAAATTTAATCAAAATCATAGAACTAGGTTGCTTGCAATGAAGCTCGAAAATGTACTTTACCTATATTTTTCTCATTTTGGCTATATTGCCACCTATGAAGTTGAGCTTCAAAAAGGCAGTAAACCCCATAAACTAGAAAGTTGACTTTGCAAATATTTTCACTAATTTGCAGTGAATAGAATGACGCTAGTGATATATCATGATACTATTGATAGTACGATATGAATATCGTGCTATTGGTACATTTCAATTTTGTGACAACAACAATTATTTCTCTTCAATATATTCCTTCAAATATAGAGCTCTATTTTGATATTTTAGATTCTACATTTGCGGTAAAATATTGAAGAGCCAAATTGTTGTTGTCACAAAATTAAAATGTACCAATAGCACGCTATTCATATCGAACTATCAATAGTATCATTGATATATCACTAGCGTCAATCTACGGCCACCTGGGAAACACATCCACAAGTTCGATTGGCTAATAAGCTATATACCGTTGGAAAGAGGGTTCCAAGAGCTATCATCTGGCAAAGTTTCATCAAAATCATAGAACTAGGTTGCTTGCTATAAGATTCGGAAGCCGATTTTTCTCATAATTTTTCATATTTCGGCCAAACGGCCAGCGTAAAATGCCATCAAACCTGCCGGAAACTCCATAATTTATATACCATTCGAAAGGTAATTTTATAAGGAATCTAAAACAATTTGGTGCATCGGGTGTCTCCAACTTTTTTTCAACAAGTTTCATCTAGATCCAAAGTAATCAAATTAACACTGAAATAAAACTCATTTATTCCATCGTTTATCCACCCAATAAAGTTGCGGTGAAACGTAATTCCACCCGAATCCATTCGTTATCCACTCAATAAATGGTGAGTGGAATCGAAATATTTTTCAAAGTGGAATCCAAAAAAGAGGGTCCATGAATGAAAAAATTAAATAGGGAGCACTTATGGGGAAAATAAAAAATACGTCTGGAGGGTTTTTTATGCCCTATCGAATGCCGAAAACCCGAACTCTCTATCTTTTCTGGTTTTCTCTAAAATCACTGAACAAACATATATATATATATATCTTACTATTCCATAGCTTAATGTATAAAACTACGTTTCACATTAAGCAATATCAAATTGTGCTACACAGTAATGCCAATAAAGAAAATGCAAATCGTTTCCTTGGTACGGTTTTTTTCTCTCTCTCTTTATTTTGGTTTATGTTATCAGTTTGCGAATGCTATATAAATTGTTACGTGACTCGTTTGTTACTGAAATGTGTTCTTCATCTTTTGTATCGAATTGCTGGAGTTTGTCTAGCGACATTCATTCAATGGCAAACAACATATAAATTCAATTTATAAATCACAGAGTAAATGAGTATATATTTACTTAAATATTGTGATTGATTTATTTCGATCGACAACGAATGTGATTAATATGCGAAAAATTCCGTTTGTTCGATTAGATACGACGAACGGCCAAAAAAATGGAGCGTATTTTCTTTTTAATATGTCATCATATATAGTTGTCGTTAACATTACGTGAGCATTTAGCGGTAGACGATGAAATTACATGAAACGGTAACGCCAAGGAAAAGAAACGGGCAGAGAGAGAGAGAGAGAAACAAATAGAATGCCATACATTTTAAATGGATACATAAGCTATTATTCTACTTAGGATGCTAAAATCTTGTGCAATGATTGTGTTGAAATAACGAAAAAACATATCAACGGGTGTGATCGTGCAATATGACAATTCGAGCAGCTCAAGACACAAAACCCTCAACAAACGACATATTTGCAATTTAGTGCAATTCTGTATTAAAAGCAAAAGCGATCAATTTTAAAGTGAGTTTCGCAATCATTTCGAAAGCAATTGAGGGAGATAGAAAGAGAGAGGGAGAGAGAAATAGAGAAAATGACAGGGCAAAACAAGAGAGCGGCAACTTTAATCTCGGTTGCAGGCTGAATTGCATTTGTCTTTCCATGGGATTTTGTTTCATGGACATTGCGCAATTGCACATCACAAACGACCATATACACACACTAACCTCCCGTCACTCATATACTCAATATTCTTGTCGGCAAACTAAGTATGTTAAACCACTTTGTCCGTTTGCTCATGAATCGTAAACTAAACTCGGTGGCTCGTTCTCTCTCTCTCTCTTGGTTTTCGCGCTCTATCTCACTCTGCTTCGACTTTTTTTCAGCAAACAAAAAAAATCATATCCATGAAATCATTTCAATGGGGGACAAGCAAAGAGAAGAAAAAGGGAGGTGGGAGTGGAGAGTGAGAGAGAGAAACCATAACGGAAGATGTATGTTTATTTTACATTTCTACGAGTGCATTTTTTTCAATTGCTTTTTAAACAAATTCCATTAAAAAGGTCGACCTTTTGTGAGCATAAAAATAAGCGCACAGAGAAAAGTGAGGCAAAAAGGATAAGATAGAAAAAGCTCCATTTTAAGTTGAGTTCGTTGTGAGAAGAATCCAAGAAGTCACTTCTAATTTCGTATTCTTCTTTAAGTGAATTACTACTATGAATAACACATAAATTGCGCTTGAATTATACACATGCATGCATTTTTCCAACTTTGCAACCTCGTCTTTCTCTCCTTTTTTTCATTCGATG